AACAGATAATTTTCCTTTTGCCTACGCTTCTAAAATAATCAAAACGTTCTCATGTTACTTTAATCAGAGAAGTTATTTGCACATAATTCAGTTATATTTTTTTGGAGAGTTAAATGTAAACTTTTGAACTTATTTTCTGGATGATTTTTGATTATCAGTACTGGTGAGAATCACAAGTCATAAAAAAAAATAAAAAATGAGTAATAAGTATTCTATGTCTGCAGAGCTTTTATAGTGAGGAGGATTTTAATTTCTGTTAGTTAAGACCAATAGTCAGCTAGCTGTTTATGACGAATTCAGTTTATGCAGAGTTGATCTCACTAAGTTTCAGTAGGTGAAATTTGTACATCCATCTGAAAGATGTCTTTCTCCTGTACTTCATGTAAAACTCCTTTTCCCAGTGGCAACTGCTTTGACATTTTGTAACCTGCTTTCTTAGTTAAGCTGGGCGTGCCTCCTCCCATCACTTGTTTGCCAAAAGGTCCATGATGTTTTGTGATAATTAATTCCTGTGTGTGACTTTACAATTCATTTTATACAGAATGATTATGCTGACTGTTTTAAAGGAGAACTAATGAACTTTTCATTGAAGGAGAAAGCTCAGATTTTGCTTTAAACAAACAGGCTTTATATCTGGAACTTTGTTCATACCTAGACAGTATGAGAAAATCCAATTTGATGCTATTTTTCTTATCGGTAAGTTAGATAAAAAGTTTGCAGACAAGCAGTGTAAATAGCAGCATGAAAAGGTGATTCATGAATTGAAACCTCATTTTCAGTGATCAGTTGCCTGTTTTTACAATGTTGTATAATGCATGAGAAACTATGTTCAAAAAGACATTTCAGGTTACTTACAGTTAGTACACTGCTGAAGAATTCTGGCAAAAGTCTAAGTTCTATATCTACTAAACTTGATCCTGTATTTCACTAACAGAGATTGTTGCATGCTGAACTGGACTAACAGGATAAGAACTGACAAGTATCTCTCTTCTGCATCCTTGCAATGTAGCTAAGAGATGTTCCTGTTTCACAGGTATAAAAGTGAAACACAAAGATGAAGACACTGAATCTACTTCTTAGATATGTGCTGAGCATTAAGAATATAAGCATCTACAAAGACCTTCATGTTTATGTGCTTAGGTATCTAGTGAATCTGGGTAATTAATGCGTGAATCAAAACTCCTGGCTGATTTCAAGAGATTGTGTCAAGCCCTGAATGAATTCCCATAGTAGGAGGAACTCTGCGGCGCAGACTAATTGGTCTGGTGTCCAACTGCTGTCCATGGATTTATCTGCCTTCTTACTATGACCAAAAAATTGCAACTGCAGATTTTCTCTCCCATGTGGTTTAAGGATCCAGCAGCTGGTATCTCTGTTCTCTGTATCATGAAAGATGAGAAAGCTGAGTGCTGCAGGTGTTTAGTTGATATGTTTGGACTGAAGTGACTGCTAAATTACTTTTTGAAAAAGAGAATAAAAAGATTATTTTGTAAAATAGTGAAAATTATGCAATATACAAAACTAAGAAATTGTACCTGACAAGTGGAGTCACTAAAAAACTGTCCTCCTGACTGTTTTGCAATCAGATACCTCATAAACTGTTTGTCATTAAAATTGGAATTGGCATTGTTTCCTTGAAAACCATTTTTAAAAAATCTAGCTTTTATAGATGTCACACTTCAGTTTCTTAAAAGGATACAATATTTCAGCATTGTTATGTGTATATCCGTAAAATAAAGAGAATTGCGCTCTAGGAAAATGTTTATAGTTCATATTGCAAGTTATTTTCTTTTAGTTGGATATAAGAAAGACATAGAATCATGCTGAATCTGATGTACTACTTACCTTGAGGGTATTTATCTGCAGGAAGTGAAGTCTAAGAGACTAAGTAGATCTTTAATTTCTTGCAGTTCGTCTTAATTGCATTCTGTTAAAAATTGCTTTTGTTTTTTAAAATTTTTCTTACAATAGATTTGAGGGGCAAATCATGCTTTTCTTTGCTTAAAATTACTATCTGAAATGCAGAACAATTTTTTTAGGAAAAAAAAAATTATTTTTATTAAAAGAGAACCATGAGAAGTAAGGCATCGAATGACTGATGAGGAGAAAACCAGGCATGTTTCTGGCCATCTACTAATGTTTTCCAATAAAATTAGTGTTCAGGATGAGATTGGGTGTAATAAAATCATAAGCAGCGCTCAAAATTAATTTATTACACTGGTATATCATAACAGCCATTCAAAAAAATGGCCTACCGTTTCTCAGAGGCCATATTGGTATGCTTATGGTGGTGAGGGAAGATAACAGTGGAAAAACAGAATCTGACAACCTTCTCCGATGCAACACTGAAAAATGTTAAAACTCCCTCATTCTATTGGTGTCCTGGAGTCTGCAGTATAAGGATGAATACTATGGCGGCTTTGATACTTGTTCAGTTTGAATGTCTTATAGCTCTGTGTCAAATTCAGCAACATAAAACATAAACGTAGAGGTGTTAACAGAAATTGCGTTGTAGTTTTAAAGAGATCAGCCATGTTGAAAGTCCTATAGAATAAGGTACAGGCATGATTAACTTAAGGACAGACAGCTCAAGGAAAATTGGATTTTTTAAGAATTAGTATTTTGAAAGAACATTTCTGGAAAGAAGACTTGTTTATTTTATGTGATCCTCCTATACTGATTCTTTCAGCATATTCAAAGGAAGTAAACAAATTTTTTATTCCTGAAATCAACTTTTCAAAGACTTCTACAGCATCACTTGACTGCCTCCACAATTTAATCTGTTTAGGTTACTTTTCTTCCTGTCTGCTGTTTAAGTGGAAAATCGAGAATGAAGCATTTTTTGTAAGTGCAGTTTGACAGAGGCTGCATATCTTCTGGAAACCTCTCTGTCTACCATTGTTGCAATAATATTGAATATTGCAAATATTACATTATACATGTTTAGATTCTTTTGGTATAGATGTTCCATTGTTCATATCCTATTTATGTCTACTACAGTTACAAAATATTGTTTGGCGATGTTTCCAATTTACGTTTATCGAAGTTGCAATAACATTTTGTAGTAGCAATTGTTTAATTACCTCTAATTGAAGTAAGACATGTGGTGTTGCAATTTTTTCCCATCTTTTTGCAAACTTAATTCAGGAGAGTGACATGTTTTAGTTGAATACTCATGCTGTGCTTGTGTGATGTTTTCTCTTTGTGAGAAGTATGCCCTGCCTGAGTATTGTTATGATCTCCAGAATATGATGTCCTAGAACAGTTAACCAACATTATTTAAAAATTATATATTAACAGATTGAAATGAAGTTCTCAGAGATTATTTATGAGATGTAGAGCACCACCCGCAATCTGTCTGTCACAGATGGAAAAAATGAACGTATTGACAAGTGTGTAGTCTGTTGAATAAGTTTGTAGACCTAAAATCCTACCCAAGATTGCCAGAATTTAACAGTTCGTCTCCAGTAGTGGATGTGAAATAGCTTAAACAGGAACAGAAGTCCCATTAGGCAGGCAATTCTTTATTGCCTGCTTACCAGAAGACAGTAATTTACTTTGTTTTTCTGAGAATATGACTATGAAATTTGTTCCTGAAACATTAACCAGCCAGCATGGTGCAGTTCTAACTTGTGTGTTTGGTAGGGATAAATATATACCACATTTTCATTGCCGTCCAGAATGAATGTGCTAGAGAAACTCACCGTAGATGGTCAGATTTCAGAAGAGCCAGTGCTTGGTTTGCAGTCTGCTTCCAAACTCTAAAGCGTACAGGTTATTTCATGTCTTGATGATACTGTGCGTGTTTAGACTGGCTGTTTTCATTAAGTTACAAGAAATAGCACAGACTAAAGCGATCTTCTGTGTGTTCAGAGAGATACCTACACAGCCTAGATTTTCAAAGGAAATGGAATGGCTGTATTTGAGGTTTTTTTTTCTTGTAGTAGCTCATAAAAGTCAGAGACAAGTACTGGCAGCCAACTAAACCATTGGAATTTTTCACATATTCACTGAAGGAAGAACAAGCTTGTATTCTAGAATACCGAGGAAAGACAATAATTTTAACTTTGCTTTTGTCATCTGTTGAGGCCACAAATGTGTTGGCCACAGGTAAATCTTCTCCTACTAGCAGAATATGTGGTGCCTACTTCATCAGTTTCTGTAATGTTTCTTGTTTTGCAGTACAAGTTATTGGTGTATAGTCAAGCCAAGATTTAGGCTTCCACGTGAACATGAATTGTTGCAGCGTCCTCACGCTTCACTGTTTTTCCGAGCAGTACAAATGCCATACTCTTTTAATAATGAACACAGGGCAAATTAAATTTTGGAAACCACCACCATTGTTTCATCCACGTGCGTGCGCACAAATTGCTCTGTTCAGACAAATGGAGCTGGGAAATGATTATGTAGTATATAGTGACTTTCCTGTGTTGTAGCCTTATGTGTTATTTTATAAGAGAGTATAACTAGTCAACATACGTAGCAATTTTAGTAGTATGATTTGTGTTAACAATACAGATAGTGTAGTGGCTGAGAATGAGAGGTGAAAAAAATAATTAAATGTAGCAGACGGCATTTTTTCCTAATGATTTTTGGTTTGGGGGCATAGAATACAAATTGGATAGAATTTAATTGCTAAAGCTGGTTAAGTGTAAAATTAATTTTAATCTGGCTTAAGTGAAACAGTAATATAGTTGAGAAGCAATTTAAAGAAACCACTGGTTACTTATGTTATGGTTTCAAGTTTATAATCGCATTTTATTAAAGTTCTTTGATACTGTGCCTCCTGAGAAGGCCTCCTTAAATTGAAATGCTGCTGTTAAGGGAAGATATTTATTTTACTGATCCTTCATTATGGAATTTAAATGGATAACTGCTGATTGTTAAGTACTGTGTGTGTGTTTAAAAATGTACGATGTCTCTTTTAAACATAGTACAAGATATACATAGAGAAAAACATTGTGAGTAATAAGTGTTTTGTCCCATCTACCTTTTGACAGGAGAATTAGATGACAGAGAACAGGCAAAGCTGGAAGTAAAAGTATGGGATCCAGATAGCCCCCTTACTGACCGTCAGATTGACCAGTTTTTAGTTGTAGCACGGTAAGATTAAAATCCTCTAATAAAAAAAATTCCTTTTACTTTTCCTACTGACTATTTATTCCCCTATATCATGTTATTCAACTTGTTTGCCATTTTGTGAGCCCTTCTCTTTCCCACAGTTAGCTAAATGAAAATCAGACCATAACCTTCTGCGTATTTATTGAAGCTACAAATACAGAAGAGAAAAAGAGAGTGAGTTTTGGAATAATGCTACGCTCCCTGTATTTCAGGTTATAGTAGAATTTGATACTTTAAATGTAGACATCAGTCTGTTTTCCCCTCAGAGTAAATGAAACAAGATTTCAGTGCTAATATTTCAGTCTTGTATTATAGTACTTTGCATTTTGCAGTGTACGATAAAAGTTAAGAGTAGAAATAAAGAAAATGTTAACAAATGAAATGGATGCAGAACTTGCCAAGTTTGCATGTAAGCTGAAGAATATGCAGTGCAATTATTTTGGATGAACGTTGAAGTAAAAGTTTTGAAGTGATGCATTTCATTAGCGAAAAAAATCTGGTCAGTTCAATTTTATAAATTAACATGTTATTATGCAGATTTGTGAGAGGAACTTCAAAGCCCTTGGAATTCATAAATACCTTTCAAATTAATTTCTCTACTTTAAAAAAAGAAACCACTTTCAAAACTCTGTAGACTTCTTACTGAAGGGCAACTTTACACTCATAATATAATGTCCTGTAACTCATACTTACAAATATAGCACAATAGTACTGTTCTAATGATGGCAGAGAACTGTTAATCGCAGCTAATATAGGAATTTTATCCTGAATCACTCCATCTCCTGTGTTTTCTGTAACCTGGTTGCAGAGTGTAGTCTTAGACCTTTTTAGGCAAATAATCCTTTTACATTGTTTCCAGTTTCTGTTCTTTATTCTTTCTCCCTTTTGAACAAAGCATTTCAGGAAGGAAATAGAGAGAACTTGCTTTATATTGTCCAGCTTATGTGTATGATGAAATGAGTTGCTGATTTTTTGTTTTACAGTTCAGATGCTGATCCACCTGGGTTTCTTCTTTCTCCTCCACTTTGCAGCGCTGTGTCCTTTCTTTATAGTAGTAAAAATTGCCTGTCCCTGTTGAATTTCCAAGCAAGCCAGAGGGGTATAGGTGTGAGCATGCATCTGTTCAGAAGATCACGATGCCTGGTAGATGGGCCATAGAACAGAACCCAGAAAACAGAGCTGCTTCTATCACCAGCAATGTAATACCTGTATATGTATGGGCAGACTCTTATGGGGTACCCTAAAAGTACCATCCGCATGACGACATGCATTTCTGAAGAGTTCATTTATTGCCTTCACATCCCTCCACTTCCTGTTTTGCAGTCTCTCTGGGAGCTGAAGTAGTACACTGTGAAACTGAAAATATTCCCAGGGGAGCGTACCTGTAAGCTGTCTGCTGAGAAGTGACAGAGAATAAATGAAATTTTTAGAGAAAAATATTTCTCTCTCTTCTTCCTCTGATTTAAGACATCCTGTGCAATGCTGTGCCCTGACCAAGACTGCATTTGTTTAGAAGTTGATAAATTTCTGTAACGGAAGTTTCTGTTATGGTGAGAATGGGCCTTGGTCATAGCTGTCTGATTGTAGCTATCCAAGATCTTGTGGTAGGCAATCACCAATGACCATCTGTAATCAGATGTTACTCAGGTACCGCTTTACTGATGTTCTTCCACAAAACTCCATTAATCTTCCTAAGCTGCTTTTGAACTGGCAAACTATGACCAAGCTCTTGTATCCTTGTATTCACAGGCTGTAAGATCACATTTCTGTTGCATTAAGTGCTTCTGAGACAGATTTTCACCAATTTCTGGAGATAGCTCTCCCATGATTGTGGCAGCTTTAAATTCAGTATTTTTTGTGCTTGCAGGTAAAAGCTTTCATTATACTGGACCATTAAAAGCTGCCTGAGTTACAGTGGAGTTGGTATTATGATCTGGTAAACTGTGCTTACAGACTGAGAAGATGGCTTTGCTGTGGCCTAACTGCAGTTCACTGGGGCATTGGTGCTGCCTGCTGGGTTTCCAGTGAGGATGGTATTTCCCTGGTTCCTGGAAGTTATGTTTAGTTTTACAAATTTGACATTCTGACAATAAGAACTTTTTCCTAAATGCTCTTCTATATGTCATTCTGGTTAAGTATGTGTATGCTATCTGTATTTGAAATTTTAATAGCAGTTTACATGCTTCATTAAAGGCATCAAGTATTTCTTCTCAGTTTTTTTCAGTCTTCTCTGGTTGAAGGAAGAGTTGCTTTAGTCCTTATAGACTTTAGCTTTTTCAGTCACACAAGCACACTTTGTTGGCTGTTTAGAAGGTGTTTAAATATTCTGTTTTTCTATTTGTATTACCCATTTGCAAGAACATTTGTATTTGGCTTTGGGCATGTAGTTTTCCCAGTCTTACAAGGCTTGTTTACTTTGTCAGGAGCAAGAGACCTTTTTTCTAGGTTTATATGCTTGGTCAGTCTGGGCCTCTCACTAAGCGCTAGTATGCAATAATTTGCTGGATATAAAGGTAGGAGAATATGCATATCCTGTCCAGAAACGGGAGGTAGCAGTGCCGGAAAAATCTATGGAGATTTTGAAAAAAACATAGAAGTACTTGAGTGGAAATTTCTGTAATGCTGAGCTCCCTAAGTAGTCTTGATTGACTCTGTGGATTTACAAATCTTGAAAACACCCGAAGCATAATTTGGGCAAGGGCTCTTGCTTGAACTAGCAAAATCATCTGTTAGGAGAAGCTTGAGGCATCAAACTAATGTATTCTGGTTTTGAGTTGATTTTTTTTTTTTTGTGTAACGCACTGTCATTTATACTCTGGCAATGAGAATTCGACACTGTTTTCTACTCAATTCAAATAAGATATAGCTTCATCAGCCAAGTTTTGTTTGTCATCTATATTGGCAACAGTTCTTCTGCGTCTACTAACTTCTAGGAACAGGACTCTGAGAAGATGCATCAGCAGTTTAGATCTGTCCGCACTGACAAATAATACAGTAGAAGTGGATTTGTAGAATTGAAATGTTTAGTGCTGAGGACCTAGCATCCACACTATGTATATTTTGGACAGTTTTAATTTTAGGCTTACTCTAATATGATCCTGTGGACTAAATATCTGTGAGTATGCGGAATGTAACAGAAATCCAGTTGGTTTGTTACAAGACACCTTTTGATGGTGGTTAAAGTGCAGTAGATCAAGTCGCTTTGCAACTCCATTCCTAATTTGAACTAAACCACTGATATAGAAACACCTTGTTTTCTTTAGTCATCAGTGTCTGTCTTTCCTAATACACAAGGAATACTTTGTTTCCTTGTGAGATCTCATATTCTCTTTCTAGCTCCTGTCCAAGTTGCAGAATCTTAGGAAATAGAAACTTTCCTATTGTGTGTATAACATAAGAGTACTGTCTTTTTTTTTTAATTTGTCAAGGAGTCGAAAATTATCCTGACCAGACTCAAATGTGGTAGGAGCTGTGGACTCCACTCTAGACAGATGCTGAGAGCCATGGACCTGATTAGTTTGGTTTTTTTTTCATTTTCTTTTTGTCTGCGGATTTGCTCTGTAATTCATTACATGATAAGTTTTTGGTACATTCCGCTTCTGTGTATGTACTTTATGATGCAGTGAAACAGTTAACAACTTGGTTCTTTTATTCTGCTTCATCTAACTAGATTATCAACATAGTCTTCTGGAAGAAATGTATCTCTAAATCAAGCTATTTTTCAGACATTTGTGGTCCCAGCTTATTTCCAACTAAAGCAGAGTTTTGAAGACTAACTAAAATAGCCTTTAAAGCATTGCGTCTCTACCTTAAAATTTTGTTCTTTGATTTCTTTGAAATTAAAATGGCACTGGATACCTCTGGCTAACATAACATATTTCTCTTAATTTGAATGCCTGATTATTTTTTGATGTAAAATCGCAGAAGAATGGAAAATTATGTGTTAGTCATTTTGAATTAGAGCTTGATCCTTGCTGTGTTGTTTCTACTTTTCCATTTTCTCTAGGGCAGTGATTATATTCATTTTCCGTTGGTTACTATTGATTTAGTTATAAGTGGTCATGGTATGTGGAAGTGTATTTGTTACACGAATTTATCGTACAGAGACGAAGAGAACAACTTGGCTTCAACTAGCAGTGTGTCTTTCCTCATATTGAAGAAAAGAATACACTCATCAACTGAGAGTAATAAGTAACAGCATATAAAAATGTGCTCAAATAGTAATACTCTGTTCTTGCAAGATAATTCAGTGTAGTCAGTGCCAGTAGACAAGACTCCCAAAGCTCATCAGTGAAAGTAAATACATAAAAATCACTGATTTGAAAGCTTCAGTGTTAGAGTGCTTCTGGACTCTTCTTTAGGTGGTAAGCAGTAAGAGGATTGGAGTTCATTAAAGACGTAATGAAATTTAATGACAGAATTGCAACATCAAATTATGTGGTAAAGATGGTGAAAAATCTTGATGTCAGTGCTGCACTCGCAAAACTAGCTGTTTCCCAGCAAGGTGAATTACAGCATGTGATGGTAGGCAGATGGTTTTGTAATAAAAAGGAAAAATATATTCACATGAAGTTTACTGGGAGTATCAAAAATACTGTATGTCTGATATGCTTGGCTGATACATGTTTATTCCTTTGTGCATTTTGTGTTACTGTATTTCTTCTTGACCAAATTAATTTGAAAATGAGTAATTCAGACTTGACCTGAATTTCTTTTTGCATCGTTTTTTATAAATTTTGATCTATTGCATTAAAAAGAAAAAATTTCTGCAGCAGCATTTTCATGGACTTGCTTTTTGGGAGCTGTAAATCATCTCCTCTGTGGCTGTGAAATTTCAGGATGGAGTACAGATGATGACTTAAATCATATCCTGTGAATTAAACTACTTGTATGTATCAGATTCTATTTCTGTAGAATAATAAAGATTTCACATATGTTCCATTTCTATTCATTTAGTAATGAAACTGAAGGTTAGTTGTGGCCTTTAGGGGACATTATATGTAATGCCACTCCCTACCCTAACTTTGAGAGTCTTCCAGAGAAAGAATAGTGGCAGGTGACTTTTCATGTTTATCATGTCATCTCCCTTTGTGCTCTAAATACCTGAAGTGATAATAATGAAGCATAGCACTGTATAGACAGTTGCTTAGAAATGCAAGGAAAATGTGTCTTCTGGAACAGAGTCATTTTACTATGGATACGTTCTTCAAGTCAGATTTTGCATTATCCAGTAGCAAAAATCTCACGGATGTTTTTCAACTTTAATATTTTGCTGGTGACATATATCTCTACTGAAGAAGTATTTTTTTTTTTCTTCTTTCCAAGATTTTAAGTATCACGAGACTCTCTTAAGGAGCAGTCGGATGTTAATTGGCTGTTTGTAAAATGCTGTTATTGATAGCAGTCTAAGAAGTTGTCTTTTAGGACTGTTTCCAACTCGTAGTAAAGTGGAACATTGATGGAATAAGGAAAACAAAAAGCTTTCCTAATACGTAGGAAACCACCAAAGATCCACTTAATTATTTTCCTCAAGAACGTTAACTCTGAGGTGAGGCAAAGGTCTCATTCATTAGTTGCAAATGCGTGAAGCAAATTGTGAATTTTCAGATTCATGTAGGCACAGAGGTGTTTCACTTTAAACAGATTGGTCCAGAGTATACCCATTGCTCATCTCATATCACTGAAACAGAGAAACAATGTCTAAAAGTGATCCATTTGAAAATAAACATCGTCAAATTAAAAACAATCTCCATCTCAGCTGGATTTTTGAGAATACAAAGTAGAAGAAAATAGAGTTACTGGCCTGGATCCCAGGCTTTCTGTATCTGATTTAATGCCAAACTGCTGCTGCTACCGGGTAGACTAGTGAATATTTTTATCCCGATGTATAATGGCAGTGGTTCCAGATTTTCTCTGGTAAATAATGGCCCTTTTCAGAACTAGTTACTGATGAGCAATTGGATCTTTAGAAATGTATTATGACAGTCTTTTGTGTTTGCTGCTTCATAATTTTATTGGCTACCATTGATACTAATCTTATGCAAAAACATGGACAATTACTTCCTTTACTGACTTGAGTTATAAGAAATTCGGAGCGATGTATTTTCTGTGTTCAATACCTAATGTGAAGTTTTACACAAATGTGGGGCACGCAAGCACAACAAAATGATGACGAGCTATTTCATTGCTAGAGAGTTCACTGTCAGGGGTTTTGGCATAGGTGTTGCTGAGTTTTGCTGAATTTGTAGATTTATTCCATAGTCTTAGGTCCTGGCACCAGATTTTCTTGATTTATGTTTGTGTGATTGTCATCTGCAATCTCCGTTGTAAGTTCTTGAGAGAACGTTCTTGGTTCTGCTCATTAAGATAATTAAAACAAGGAAAACCTGATTAATGTAACACTGGTTCCTTTGGTCTAGCCATTAAAGCTGTTATACCTGCTTGCTGATACAGCCTGTGCAAAGAGGGATCTCTCCGCTGATACCACCAGTTCTTTGCCATTCTTGTCCATCTCTCTGCCACCTGTGTAATTCACTGTCTGTATGCCCTTTGGCTTTAACTTATTTTGGGAGGCATGGGGAGTGTTGGTTTCTGTTTGAAGTCTCACTACTGTAATAACTTGTAGAATAACTAATTTGTGACTAGCTTGCTGAGCACGTTTTTTTGGTTATGTGAGCTTATTATTGTTATTATTGAATTAAATGCAGTTCTAATTAAATATTTACAGTTATTCTTTGGATTCTACAAACTTAAAGGAACATTTACATTAAAGAGTCTGCTTAAAAGAAAAAATGAGTAGTTGGGATCTGACTGTTTAGCCTGCGCTGGCTTAATACAGAGTTTTGTTTTGGTAGCAGGTAGGTGAAGACAATACTGTGTCTTCTGGAATTAGACATTAGTTAGTTATTTTTTAATTTTAACATTTTTTTAAATAATTGTTTGGTGGTATTATTAGGAAAAAACATGCAAAGAAAAATGACAAAGGAAATGTTTGACCTTTGTATCAATATGTTCCTCATATCTGTATAATGGAAAAACATAAAAATTAAGGTATTTCAATTATTTCTAAAATTACTACTGAATTTGGATTGCGTGGCTAGATTATACAGAGCACTGTACATCACTTAAGTTTTGAGAGTAATTGCTATTTAACAGCAAACACTCTAGAATTCCTACACTTAGCTTGGATTGTCTGAAAAATTTACTGTTTTTCAAGAGTTTCCAGGGAAAGGTGAACTGGAACTGCAGACACACACACTCTTGTCCATTCCCCCCTAAAATGGCACACTGTGTTTTATTGTCATTCTTATTTGTTTTGCACTCACGTACCCCACGGTCCCATGCAGCATTCCTCTGACAGTTGTGATCCTCTCCTACTCACTACAGCATTGGAAGGGATGTCAACTAGTACATCAGTTCTTCCCTCTTTATCACTTGTTCAAAATAAATGTTGCTTTATATTGTGTCTTAATTTTGACTTTGCATACTGGGCAACATAATTCACATATGCTTGGGCTCTGCAGTCAGCCTATAAAGCTGGAAAGCAGCTTGATGTGCTCAAGAATGACTTGCGAGGGCATAGTCTTTGGAATTTTCATAGCATATTCTGACTTTGTTTTAGAAATATGGTCAAAAAATAGTGTTAATTATGCAAAAGGAAGATAAGAAGCTAGTAGTTAGCAGCAGAAGGGAAATACAGTCACACTGCATGCTGCTTTGCTGGTTTGAACAGTAGCAACAGAAGGATCACAGGAAAGACTGTTTAGCTACAACCCTTATCAATGCCAACATGTTTAAAGGGGTTGACTGACTATCAGGAAATGTGTTCACAACAGAGCCGTATTCTTGGGACTGATTTGTGGACGAATACTGCTTTATGTACTGCCAGACTTTTTTTTTTAAAAAGGAAATAGAATGTGTGTGCATGTTCTTGTCACATATTTGCCATCTCTGCAAAGAGGGGGCAAAGGTTGTGGAACAACGTTTGAATATTACTTATTTATTCCACAGCCTTTAGAAATTTAAGCAGCTAATACCTGGAGTGCCTGAATCACTGCTGTTTAATATTAACTGTCTCTTAAAGGTTTTTGGCAGCGAGTACTGAAAAATGCATTCAGTATTAAATGTTTTGAGTTTCAATATAAAATTACAGTAACAGATGTTATTACCAGTTTCTCCATGATCAAGGATATCCCTTGGTGATTTAAAATCTTGGTGCACATTACTTCGTTGTTGAATATTGGGTTTATAGTATGCAATAATGTGACACTTTCAGTGGGTTGGCCTCTGTCAATACATTCCTCATTGGTATAATTCTGTGCTTTGACCTGTGTGGAGTGTAATGGTTGCATGAGACTCCAGTCCTTAGTCCAGAGGCTTACACTGTACTAAGAATGTTAGATGAGTAATTGGACCTTTCAGTTTAGAAAGACTTATGTCATAACTGAAACAAATCATTTTTTCTAGTGTCATAGTGACACAGTGCACCTGAAGAGTCATCATGCAACTTGGATCCTGGGGCAGCTTCTGTTCTATTAATTAATAGTCTTTTTCATGTGTGGCTGCATCTTTGTTAATTTCCTCTATGATATGCTGAGCCTAATCAACTTCTCTTATGCATCTTCCCCTTCACCGTGTATGCTATATCATAGATGTGCTTCCAAGAAAAGTTTGCAGTTCAGGACAGTCACTGTCATGCTAATTTTCCATCTCTATTCCTTATCTTTTGTTGCTCTGGAACTCTAATAAATGCTGTGTACGATACATCAATAAAGGTGCAACAAAAAGGTAAAAATGTGGAGAATATGTATCCAGTTCGATAATGCTGAAATGCTTTTGTTAAGTAGGCTGAGAGATCCAGGTATTTCATTATTACATAAAACCTGTGACAAAAATACAATTTTGGAGGTACCTAGTACTAAGCTAATATGCTTTGTTGGTCTTACTGATGGAAGTACTGGACATACATTACTGAAGCGAATAAAATGTTACTAATTTCCTCATGAGAACATGGTGAACCCCCTTTTTTTAATTGTGTCGTAACTTGTTAAGTAGTATTTTGGCTTTTTAATTTTAAAAATAATAGTCATGGTTGTAAAGCCCAAGCTGAGTAAGGTCTTTGACTTCATAATTAATAAAAAATTGGTACATTAAAATTCTCTTGAACATCTTTTGATTCCATACCGTTGTTCTTATATGTAGGTTGTTACATTTGGGGGAGATGGTCAGAATTTTTACTGCAGTACTTGGTGATTCATCAATCAAATTGTCCTTTGTTAGCTAAAATCTGAAATCTTAAAAGTATGTGACTTTTATTTTTAAAAGAATGCTTTTATAGATATGACTGAGTCTGATAATAAAAAAGAGGTTAAATCTTTCTGTCCATTTACTGTCTGCTGTTTCTCTGTCGTAGTGCGGTTGGCACGTTTGCTCGAGCGTTGGACTGCAGTAGTTCTGTCAGACAGCCTAGTTTACACATGAGTGCAGCTGCTGCTTCCCGAGACATCACACTGGTAGGTGGCTTGTTGAAAAACCTGCAACTTTTTTTACATCTGTGAGTTCAGCAGTATCTATTACTCCAGATTCCTTGTGCTCCATATACCGGTTTTCCTTTACATACCTGCGTGGAAGGTGTCTGTGTGTATTGTAGATAATCCTATGCATTTTCTGTAAGCATGTTGGTGCAGCTCTTGTAATCATACTGTAAATCACTTGACTTCAGCTGTAATCTACTTACATATGATATCATCATATGTGATAATTTGCACAGCAGGGTGGATACTACATATTGTGTAGGGATTCACTCAGTATAATTGATGAATAGTGTTATTTAAAGTATGTGGTAATAAAACTGCTTGAAAATTGTTTAGATAATATTTTGTACTTAGTATATGTGCGTGTCAGTAAATTTTCTAAAGTATAAGCAACCAGACTTTGTAAGCAACTTTTTGAAGAACATATTACTTAGGATGTCATAGAATCATAGAAGTAATATGTTCTAAGTAATATGTAACTTTTTGAAGAGCATATTACTTAGGATGTCCTTAGGATGTTTCCTTAGTTTATGCAGCTTTATCTTTTAGAGAAAGTTAAAAATGTTATAAACCAAAGTTTTGTCTCTGTATATTTATATTAACTGAGATGACAAGATGTGCTACAGGAATAATAGCGTGCCAGGAGAACTTTGAGAACAAAATCTGTTTCGTAGAATCAAGTTTGACTTAGATTTCCAAAGACAACAGCAGGAGTTGTTTATTATTTTAAGTATTTGTTTACAGAGTTGTAAAGACTATGGCTAAGGCTAAAGTAGATCTGCTAGTCATCAGATACTTGAGTATTTGAACTAGAGGATACTTGAATCTAATGGATGAGTTTAAAATAGTTAAGGTACTGCCATATATAGTGGCTAGACAGCCCTTGGAATTTAGTTAAACCAAATTTTATGGGAAATACCAGCAAGTTAAAAAAGGGATTAGAAAAATTATGGACCATGGGTGCTGACGAGAACAGGGAGGAGACGTGTACCATGTAGCATTCCTCATTCCCAAGGTTTGTAGAAGCTGGTGAATGAAGTGGGAATTGGCCTCAGACTGTGGTTAGATTTGTGTATTTTCCGTAAGTAATATGCCTTGGTGCTGCTATCAGGAACAGCATGCTCGGCTAGGTGGATGAGTGATCTGATTCAGTAGGGCAGTTCTTAAGATTCCAGACAAAATGTATTCATTAGCATTAGGAGAAAAATATTTAATTTCTTACATTTTGCAGCGTACTCAAAGGCTATTAAACAGGAAACTGATTTAGTCTGGGCTACAGCAGTTTAATAAAGGCAGTGGTAAAATGTAATGTTTTCAGTAATACTCAAAATGAGTTTTCTGTTTCACACTTGCTCATACGACCTTACCAACACAGTTCTGTTCACATTAAATGCTTTATTTTTCCATCAAAGTAGTTCTTTAAACGTTTTTCATTTTATGAAGATTTAATTGGATTAAGAATTTTTGATAATCCCACACACTGTGCATCCTTCTTACTGTATTCAGTGATTAATAGAAGAGATTCATCCTTATAGCAATTTCTTTTTGTTTGAAAGTAGCTGTGCAGTGCTGCTGATAAAGTGATACATTTAGTGTTTGAGTGCCATATAAATGTTTCTCCATTGCAAATGATCCATTAAGTTCCATTACACTTAATGAAAGGCATATCTTAAAATGAGGCACCAGAGGAGACACCCCAGGTTTAATTATTGTGTCTGTCTGATCTCATTTTCCTACCCGCTCAGCTTTTTAAAACCCTTCTCTTTTACTCTTCGGTGATGTACTTCCTTCTAATTTAAGAAAAGACACATTTGTCATTATAGTAGTTACTTTTTCAGATGTTCCCATGTTAATCGGGAGCATATTTTGAGTGGTGGTTAAAGTTAGTGCAGACATTTGCAGAACTTTTGGTGTATCTTGTTTACGCTTTGGAAGGGATGTAGGTGCATGACACCAAGAAAATTATACTGTCTGTATTCTTAATGCAAGGCAGGTGACCCTTGCAGCCAAAGTGCTATTAAGGGGATTTCTGTACGCCACTTTCTGTACACCACACCTGTGGCTTTCTAGTATTCTTAATTAGTTGTTTCAATTAGAGATGACTGTAAAAAAATTGATACTAAATAAAATAATATAATAAATGCTTAGGTTATAAACATGAGTAAATTCTCAGTGGATGGACACATTAGGGAGATCTTGCAGCTTAACAGCAAGAGGCTACTTTCATAGAATCATAGAATGGTTTGGGTTGGAAGAGACCTCAAAGATCATCTAGTTCCAACTCCCCTGCCATGGGCAGGGACACCCTCCACTACACCAGGTTGCCCAAAGACTCATCCAGCCTGGCCTTGAACGCTTCCAGGAATGGGGCATTCATAGCTTCTCTGAAAAACCTGTTCCAGTGCCTCACTGCCCTCAGAG